TACAGCTAGAGCAGCCATAGAGCGTGCAGAGGCAGGAGGTGCTAGGAGTAGAGTCTAGATCAAAGATTAGCTTACACCAGTACAGAGGGCTGCACTTGAGCAGGTTGAGCACCGTCATGGTGGTCCAGCTAGGACTATCATGGTTGGAGGACGGCGTGTTGCTATTGATGAGAGTCAGTCTCAGGGGGAGTCACAGCAGTAGCCACAGCCAGCAGAGCAGACTTAGGAGGGAGAGTAGGTCGAGGAGACAGAGCAGGCATCTCAGCCATAGCTTCATCGCTTTGGTCGTACACGTGCTCCAGTCACACCGAGGCCTAAGACACGGCAGAGGGGTTCTCGTCTGCCTCCTAGACCATAGGGTCCGCCTCCAGTGACTCACTTGGATTTGAGGGCTGCCACGACCAAGCAGGTGCAGCAGCTCAGATTTGTGGACTTTGATCAGTGGTTCCCGCCGAGGAGGGATGACTGAGCTTCAGAGGGCTTCTACACACCACTACAGGAAGATTTTTATGATGCATATCTTAACAGTGGGGTTGTATTCAAATCTCAAAGGGTGTGCAACATTGAGTCCATTGTAGCAGCAGCTGGAGAGCATATTCGCCCCTACCTAGCATACTTGCCAGGGCTGACTGATTTACTCAGACGGATAGGCTTATATGTTCCATCTTGGGTCCGGGAGTTCTATGCTACACTTTGGATTGACCCATAGCACAAATTCATCCACTTTGCTTTGAGAGGCAGAGATTATAGGTTGATGAGCTTTAGGGTTAGGAAGATTCTTAGGCTTCAGGAGCAGCCCGTCAGGCTACATGAGGTTTGCTATGGACAGACAGCGCCTCCCAGACGCCCTCATGGCTGTATGGTACCTCCTACAGATCTAGTCCGCAACTGCTTCACATAGCCTTTTGGCGAGGGGTTGAACAGGACTCCCAGTGATCTCACTCCTATAGCTAGAGTGCTGGATGCTATTATGAGGAGGACCCTGCTTCCGAGGATGGGGTATCGTGAGGGCTTGACTCGCATACAGTTATGGCTACTGAACTCTCTAATGCAGCAGACTGTGTTTGACATTTGGGATCTCCTTCTATCTGAGATGGAGGATACTATTGCTGAGGGGTTCAGGGGTCATCAGAGAGCTACCATATGCTCACTAGATTACATTCTTGATCCATAGGGCCATTACTGTGAGGTCACCTGAGATGCTGGTAGAGTATAGTGGTGCTACTACAGAGTTCTCTACATACAACATGACTCAAATGATCCGCCATAGTGCAGTGAGGACACCCAGATAGCCGCGCCGTCGTCCAGAGGTGCCAGAGGCTATAGCCCAGCAGGATGATACTATCAAGGGCATAGCAGCTACTGAGGAGGAGCAGTTAGATGCTTAGTAGGAGGGGATGGTCGAGAGCAACCCCAGCGATAGCTCAGATGATGACTATCGAGATATCCCTCAGATGCCTCCTCGACGACATGACCATGAGGCCGATAGCTCCAGTTCAGCTCCACCTACACCGCAGACAGACCCCGCTCTACTTGCTATACTTGAGCGGATGAGGCAGGATCAGGCTCGCCAGGCATAGGAGACCGCTGCTACATTTGCACAGTTTCAGACTACATAGGATGAGTTCTAGCGATAGCAGTAGGCGATCCAGCAGTAGCAGCAGGCCATGCATCAGCAGCAGCTTCTCATGCAGCAGCAGCTACTTAGGTTTATGCAGCATGTTGTGATAGCTATTGGGGCTCCACCACCACAGCCTTCACCCTAGATAGCCCAGCCTGCCACCACTTCTATGACTCTAGCTTTACAGCCTAGTGGGCTTCAGAGTCAGGGATAGCCACCAGCATAGTTTGCTTCACCTACAGAGCAGGTGTCCCAGTGGTTTGCCTCGCCAGTGCTAGCCCCACAGTTCACACCTTTTCAGATAGGCTTCACACTGGCTCAGACTTCTTCGCTGCTTGTGCTAGAGACTATAGTTTCCAGGAGCCTTGGTGCTTCCTTCAGTGAGTTGACAGGGCAGCCTACTCCACCATATCTACATGTCCCAGGTCCTTCCACAGTTGCACCTATTACCGAGACTACAGAGACGCTCCATTCTTCTGTTGCATCATCAGAGCCACCTGCTATAGTCATACCTACACAGTCTATAGCCGCTCCAGTCCCTGATCCGACCTAGACTGCTTCAGCATCACTTCCAGCTACAGAGGGTCAGACTGCTCAGAGCTCATGGTCAGATGATGATGGCACACAGTTCTAGCTCGCTCCTCGCACCTCAGCGCCCGACTCGTCCGCTGCAGCCCCGCCGACTGACCCTTAGGTTTTGGTGTTTGACGCTAAAGGGGGAGAGGGTTCGAGTATGTTAGCCTTAGGGGGAGTGACATATTTAGGGGGAGTATACTTATTAGCTTATCTATTACATTTGGAGTTTTATGTGTGATACATTATGCATTCATGTTTACTATTATGCATTGAACTACATAAGTGTGATCGTAATTGTGATATTCATGTGATCGTGATATTTATGTGATATGTGACATGTGTGCTCTCTACTTTGAATTATTTATATGTCATATCACTTCTGCTATGCTCATTTGCTTTTGCTTCCGTGTTTTACTCCGATGCAAATGAGCTTTATTTATTGTACTCATGCTTATTTCATATCTTTTGAGTACATCATGTTGGCTTGGGTCATATAAGCTTGCCTAACTCTTTTGTTCTTATTGCCAAAAGCTTATATGATCTAAGCATGTTAAAAACCTCAACTCTTTCACATACTCGAGGTAGTATTGTCATCAATCACCAAAAAGGGGGAGATTGAAAGCATCTAGGCCCCTAGTTGGGTTTCGGTGATTAATGACAATACGTGATTACTATGACTAACGTCTGTTTTGCAGAGCCAATTAAGTTAGGTCATGGTAATGGAGATCGATTGGGCAATCATGGTGGTCATGCCCCTACGATGGAAATCATTTCGGTTTTCAAATGATGGACGACAAGGTTCAGGATGGACGAGTTCTAAGTGTCGTTTGGTGTTAAAGAGACACTTAGAGTAGTTTATGACTTTGTTTTTCCTTTGGCCGTACTATTAAGGGGGGTATGGACGGGTAGCTTGACCTAGGTGAGTCTAGTGGGTTAGGTGTGGTGCACACTTGCTAAAACTAGCACTAGGTAGCTCCTAAAAAGCTCTTAGATCCATTGGGGCAAACTTCATTCACGTATGATCCAGAGTTGGAAGTGAATGGAGGGTCAAATGTCGACCGGACGCTAGTTTCGGGGTGACCGGACGCTGGCGCAAAGTCCGGTCAGTTCATTTGATCAAGGTGATTTCGTCTGGTGCGACCGGACACTAGAGAGGTGAGCGACCGGACGCTGGGTGCCAGCGTCCGATCAACTCCAGTAAGGTTCCAGAGAGGGGAAATCAAGACCGGACGCGCCCGGTCAGTGCTGACCGGACGCTATCCAGCGTTCGGTCACAACTTAAACACTGGAGTTCAGGGAGAACTGACCGGAGCGTCCGGTCACCCCGCAGCGGCACATAACGGTTCATTTTTCAACCAAGGTTATAAATACTTCCTCCATTCGTGTGAGGGGTGACTTTTGCTCATTCCAACAATTGAGAAACACCTTTGAGAGTGCCAAGAAGAGAAAGGTACTAGTGAGGTGATTGAGATTTGAGAATCCCAAAGAGATCCCTCATTAGTGAGATCAAGAGTAGCAAAGTGTGCATCCACCCTTCTCATTAGGCTTGTCGTGGTCAAGTGAGAGTTCGTGCTTGTTACTCTTGGTGATCGCCATCACCTAGACGGCTTGGTGGTGATTGGGAGCTTGGTGATCATCCGACGGAGCTTGTGGATGACCCAAGTCAAGTTGTGAGCGGTTGTGGGTGATTCACCATGACGGAGTGTCGAAGAATCAACCCGTAGAGAGCACTTGATCCTTGCGTGGATCAAGGGGGAGCTACACCCTTGCGCGGGTGTTCCAACGAGGACTAGTGGGGAGTGGCGACTCTCCGATATCTCGGCAAAACATCGCCGTGTTCCTCCTTCTCTCTTTACTTTGAGCATTTACTTTGAGCAATTCAATTCTTGTCATTTACATTCATAGAATTGCCATGTTAGAGTAGGATTGGAACATAGGTTGCTAAACTTTTGTGCGTTAGATCAATAGAAACACTTTCTAGGCACAAGGGGTTAATTGGGCTAACCGTAGGGTTTAATTATTACAAAGAAATTTAGAATTAGCCCAATTCACCCCCCCCCCTGGGCATCTTGATCCTTTCAAGCTTGATAACCCAGTGGTCTTTGGCGAGGAGATCTAGTACTTGTTGTAAGTGTTGTAAATGTTCCTCATAGGAAGAGTTGTACACCAAAATGTCATTAAAAAATACAATGACGCACTTGCGCAGTAAAGGGCTGAGAGTGACATTCATAGCGCCTTGGAAAGTTCTCGGTGCACCAGAGAGTCCAAAGGGAACCACAGTAAACTCATAATGCCCTGCATGTGTCAAGAAGGCAGTCTTATGTTCTTCACCTGGTTACAATCGTATCTGGTGGTAACCAGAGTATAAGTCCAAGATTGAAAACCATTTAGCGTGTCCAAGCTCATCCACTAACTGATCAAACACTAGGATTGGGTACACAGACTTGACTGTTAAGGCATTCAAGTAACGATAGTCAACAGAGAAGCTCCATGAACCGTCCTTCTTCCTGACAAGCAGCACGGGTGAAGAAAACGGTGAAGAGCTGGGTTGGATTAAGCCTTGAGCTAGCATACTCTGAACTTGTGTGTCAATTTCATCCTTCAGTTGGGGTGGGTATCGATAGGCTCGAATATTGATAGGTGTAGCACCACTGATTAGCGGTATAGCATGGTCACATGCACGCTTGGGTGGTAAGCTGTCAGGCACCGTGAATACTTGTGAAAAAGCATCTAGAATATACTGAATGTCTGATGGAAGCACATCTGACCGAACTAAATTGGACTGCATCTCAGCTGAAAGCAATTAGAAAACCATGTCAACTGTAGATGTGGCGGAAAGCCCATGAAGCACCAACTGAGTACCATCACAAGGTATAGAGATCCATTTAGCCTTCCAGTGAATTTCCATTGGGCTGTATCGCTCGAGCCAGTCCATACCCAGAATTAGGTCGTCAGAGTCCAACTGAAGAATCTTTAAATCATGCTGGAATGGGTGACCCTGCAAAAAAACTAATAGTCCAGAATAGCAGATGTGCAGCTCAAAATATGTCCATTAGCAATTTTCACTGAAGCTTTCACAGGAACCCGAGCCAGCTAAGGCAACTGATCAGCAATGGAAGCAGCCAAAAATGACGAAGAACTCCCAGAATCAATCAACACGACAACAGAAAGCCCATAAACAGTGCTGTGAAACCAAATAGTGCATTGGCTGTGGGATCCCATGCGAGCATCATGTGACAGGGCCAGAAGTAACTGCTCATCAGGTTCATCAGTATCTTCAGGGGCTAGCTCAATATTGAAGAAATACCAAACTTCTTGCATTGCTTATAGTGAAACAGTAGCAGCACATTTGTGTCCTCTCACCCATTTCTCGGCGCAGACTTCACAGAGACCCTGGGCACGGCAGTAGGCCCGAAGTGTTGAAAGCTTGTCATCTTGGCCCTTGGCAGGAGCCTTGTCGCCCATCACCTTGTCAGCACCAGGCAGCCGTGGCTATGCTAGCGCCGGTTTGTGCTGTGGTCTAAACCCCATCCTGGTGGTGTTAGTCTTCGGAGTCGAAGCCACCACTTCCTCCTACAATAGAGCCAACGAGTACGTAGTATCGAGAGTAGAAGGACGCTGTAATGTGACAACCATCCTGATATCATCTCGTAACCCATCCATGAAATGAGTGGTGAAGTAATGCATGTCAGGATTGGGTTGATAGGCTTTAAGCTGATCAAAGAGGGATGAAAAGCGATCGACAGTGATAGGGAAATTTGGCTTATATGTAACATTTGGCGCACAAGCTTGTCACGCTGATCACGGCCAAAGCGATCGTGGAGCATTTTGCAAAAATCAGGCCAGGGTAGGCGATCTGGTTGGGGAATGGACTCGATCCAGCGACCGACTGCTCCATGAAAGTTCATGTGAGAAATTTTGACCCACTGGCGTGGAGGTACTTCATACATGTCGAAGTAATCCTCGGCCTGAGATATCCATAGACGAGTAGTCTCCCCCTCATAGATGGGAAAATTTTGCTTGAGTAGTTTGCCGAGATTGGGTGGGTTAGGATCAGGAGGATGGTTACGAGTATGAACATCATAAGCTTCTCCATGAAACAGCAAAACCTCAGGTTTGGGCTTGGAATGCATACCATTGGCCGGAGAATGGGATTGGGAAGAATTCTCCCCAATACCATCCGCTCGTGGAGTCGTTTCGACGTGGTGCCCGCTGGGCCGAGCAGCCGTGAGATTCGCAGATGAACGCGCAGCGGTCTGCTCCAACGCCGAAGGTGGTTGGGAGATCAACCCTGTCGACGCCGTAGCGTTGTCGAGGAATGATCGATCCCAATATTTTGTGAGTTTGTCCACCTTCAGCTTGAGATCATCCATAGCACCTTCAGAGTCCTGGCGCCAGCTCTCCAGGGCGCCCGCGACCTTCATGACGCCGAAGATGCGGTCGTCCTGACGTCGTTCAGCTTCGGCGATGAGGTTGTTCTGGTGCAGCTCGGAGTTGGTGATGCGGCGTTCCCAGGAGAGGTCGGAGTCGGCGAGGCGCTTGTTGAGGGTGTCGTCGACCTCGGTCAGGCGTTTGTTGAGGGAGTCATCGACGTTGGCGAGGTGCTTGGTGACGGATTTGTCGACGTCGACGAACCGCTTCTCCAGGAGGCGGCTGCTGTCGATGAAGCGCAAGTCCAACTTCTGATCCGCCTCAGTGAATCGGTCCTCGATCTGGGTCTTCTGCTCGTTGAAGAGACGATGCATCTCGTCCAACAGGAGCTTGGAGTCCGGGTTCATGGCGCCGCGACTACGAGCGAAGCGCGTGTAGTGAGGATGCGGGGGCGGCGGCGGTGGCGGCAGCGGTGGCTGACGATCCAGCGCCGGTAATCGAAACAGATTGCTCACGTGCCCGGGAATTACGGAAATCGGGATCGAGGGGAATCGATTCGATCTCTACGACCCAAGGCGTTTGTAAGCTATCGACGAATCGAAGATAGGACAGAGGATGGCGGAAGAAATTGAAAGGGGAATCGAAGGAAGCTCATACCAGATGTAAGCAGAGTGGTAGGAGTAGAGGATGGGCAATCAATCCGGTAGAATCAGAGGAAGAACAAGCACAAAATTGGGGAAGGTTGAGTTCTGAATCGAATAGCAGCGGAGTGCTTGTTTTACAAGTTGTTCATCTTCTTTTTTTCCTCCCCCTCTCTCTCCGATTACATATACTGAGATGACACGGCTCTCTCGCCAGGTGATGGTCGGTCACTTCCACTCCGGTCCATGGACTCGTATGTTGAGCCTGCGGTCACGCCCTCCTCAACGCGGCCCATGCTCGGCTTGAATGTCGCCGAGAACATCAGGATGGCTGTCGTCGTTTCCGTTATCCTCCTGGTTGCTGATGTAGTGGTACGGGTGCTGACAAGGGGTTTTAGTTTGGGTGAGGAAAAGAACACGCCGAACCCTCGGCCCAAGAAGTCAGTCCGCATGAACCTGCCCATAGCGCTTCCACTGGGTCTCCTTGGCGACGATGACCCGGCGGCATGTGTCGTAGCCTCGTAGGTGAGCCGAGGATGGTTCTTGATCCGGCTAATGGCGTCCAAATCACGTCGGAGCTCGGCCAGCCGCCGCTGGAACTCCTTGTCGGGGAACACGGACCCGTGGCCGCGTTAAGCTCACTGCTGATGGCCGATCAGTCGTCCGCGGTGCTCCGTGCTGGCCTGCTCGGCTACTCTGTTCAGCTGCTCTGTTCGGCGATACGAGGCTCCGGCAAGCACAGGTGCAGGCAGCGCGCCAATCCTAAGGGCGGCGGGCGGCGCTGCGGCGGGCCAAGGGCCGGCAGCCGAGGGGCGAGGCTCGGCCCCGTGAGGGCAACGGCAGCCGCCGGCAGGTGGGGGGGGGCCGGGGCCGAGCGAGCTGGGTACCGCCGCGCCAGCACCGGCAAGTGCGAGATGCGAGCGGGAGGCAGGAAGAAGAGCCACGAGCCGTGCGTGATGGCGTAAGCGACCGAGGCACCGAGAGATTCTATGGTCTGCCCTACTCTGCTCCTTACTGTGCCGGCGAGGACGAGCGCGAGCGCGGGCCAAAACGAGGTGGAGCTCGAGCGCGACGACCACATGGAGCTCAGGTGCTGACTGTGGGCCGCGACGACGACGCATAGTGTGGAACAAACGATGGCGACGAAGCATAGCTTCGGCCGCGGCCCACAGGCTGCGAGGGCGAGGCGCGAAGCTTGGCCGCAGCCGCAGGGGACAGCCGCGAGGACGAGCTGGAGCTCGAGTGCACCATGCTTTCCCAGGTTGTTTACGTCTGGGTTGCCTAGGTCTAGCATTATTTTCTATTTTGTTTTCATTCAAACAAGAGGTACTCTTATGTCTTAGCTTTTTTATTAAAAATAAGTATTTGGTCTGAAGTAAAATGAGCATGGCCTTGGGAGTTCAATCTATAAGATGAATTAAAATACATGACGCATAAATCTCCAATCTTTTCATGTCCGTACGGGTTAGAGCAATACACAGTCGATTAATTTGAAGGCGAAGAAACGCATGACACTTTAGCTCTCCATGTTCGTACGAGTTAGAGCAAAACACAGTCGATTTGAAGGCGAATCGAAACACATGACACTTTAGTTAAATAAATTTTGAGCCAAAAGTCGTATAAGTGATGTTGCAATAAATCATGTTCCGTTGTAACGTACGGGCATTTTTGCTAGTAATAATATAAAAAAAGTTCAAAGTATGGGGTTATCAACCACTTACGAGAGAGCTCTCTCGGCCCTCTTTCTCCTGGTAGACCGATGATCTTAGCTTATATATTAATGAAAATGCTGGAAAGGAGAACCGGAAAAAATGATGTAGAATAGAATAGTAATAAGAAATTGATGTATAATAAAATAATAATAATATAAAATAAAAAGGAGTTGGTAGGAGAGGAGGAGCGACCTAGCCAATCCAACCCTCAAGTACTTTGTAATACCATCATCAGATGTGGGCCCCCACATCTAGACGGTGGCCAATTACATTAGTACAGCCGTGAGAGCCCATCATCGAGAAATCGGGACGGCCCAAACCTGCCAACTCCAGCTCCCTAAAGCTGGGGTTATAGGCCTGCGCTACCGGGCCCAGCGAGAAGAGGGTTAGCGCCTCCTTTTTTTATGTTAGTTTAGCGCTCTTAAATAATCCTTACGGTACTAATATTTTTTTCTACGAGGAAGTAGGATATATACATGTATACGCGGCATATATACCCTTATTTTACGTGCGTGAGCGCATGGCTCTGTTGGTTGCATTGCATCGATCAAAACGGGCCTCAGATGGGCTACAGGCCCTTGGAGTGGATTCAATGGGCTGTACCAGACAGAATACCAGCACGTGTAAATTCCAGGGGCGTCACGGGCCGACAACGCCCCCAGACTTGTCTAGACGTGGGCCAAGAGAGCCCAAGATGGCGTCTAGATGTAGGGTAACAGCCGAGGAGCTCATCATCGGACATCGGAAGGCCCAAACCTGCAACTTTGGATCTTGTCTCAGTGGAAGATTTCATCTCAAAACATGACGATATTGGTAACCATGAATGAAACAGTCTCAGTGCACGCTTTCATTTCACCGATCCATAGACTAGTTGCAACATTTAATTCTTGCAAGATGTCATGATAAACTGTGTCTTGTGAACTACGTACACTATTTTGAATAGCAAATTTTCCCACAACGTAATCGACATACAGTCCACAGAGGCGAAATAAACAAATGCAAATGGATAAAAGCGATCAGAGAAAGAAGAAGCTATCCAACCTTATCCCTGAGCTTTCCGTCAGTACATGGATTGCGGGCACATCAGCAAAATAAACATCGCTGCCGACCGGCTGGGAGACGAAGATAGGAACTCCTGCGCGAAGGCGAGGCTCAGCGTCGGGAAGATGACGCACGTCTCCTTGCTCCCGATCGAAACGCCCTCTACGGGGTACTCATCGATCTCCAACCGGTGGTGCTTCGAAGCCGGTATGGAAGGAGGGGCGGCGGCGGGCACAGCCTCCGCCACGAACTCGCACGCCATTACGCCGCTGCCGCCAATCGCTTCACAGCACAGCACCTCGACCACAAATCGCACGGAAAGGAGAGAAGATCGGAAAGAGAGGAGATCGAGATCTGAGGCCAGTCTCAAGGGGTTGACGCGGAACATCGCCGCCGGCCGCGGGCTTGGAGCTGCGTGGGTCCACCACCTGCAGAAGGTCCGCCGCCGCCGTGGAAGACTTTGAACGCAAGCGGCCGCTGGCGCGGAGTCGCACGCACGCGAGTTGCCGCAGGGAAAAGCTGGCCGCACGGGATGGGATGAAACGGAAGGAAGCCGCTCAGTGCTCAGTGCAGGTTTCATCCAGATTCCAACGCGTGGAAACAACGCCGACTCGTTTCCTGCACACTGAAACAGTGCAGGTTCTCTCTTCATCGATACATGCAAAACAGTGCCTTTTCAGATATGTCATCTCATTTATTTCTCATGAAAGACATGACACGTCATTGAGACTGGCCTAACCACGATGTCACATGCCACTGCACCCGCATAGGAGAGTCTGCTGTCTGCTAGAGGTGCATGACTCCTTGTCCGTCGGACCGTCGCTACTTGCCACGGTACCACTAGCCGCTTAACAGCCCCCATCTCATGCATACTACGCAAATAATTAAAATGCACCATAAGAAATCTCATGAATACTATGTCAACAACTCACCTGGAAAAAATACTGTCAACAATACATAGTATAGAACATCCAATTGATACTATGTGAAAAAACCAAAATATACCATGAAACATCTAAATGTATACTAAAAACATTGCAAAATAAACAATATTTAAAATGAATACTCACAAAAAATCTCGCATACATCATGGAGTATCTCAAGAATAAAATAACCAAAACAATCCAGAATACATCATGGAATATCTCATGAATATCGATCATTCAGAATGCACCCCATAAATACTATGTGAACAATATTATTATATTAATAAGAAACAATTCAAGTGAATCATTCGCATAAAATAATTCAAATGAATATCACCATAAGATCATGGATATAAAAATACTATTAAGTATATAAAAATACCAAATAAAAGGAAAATAAATAACAACAATAAAGTAGAAAACATAATTAATACTTTAATAGATATAAAAAAACAAAACATAAAACAAATGTAAAAAACACAAAACCAAAAGGCCACATAACAGAGGAAAAAAGAGTTGAACATCTCATAGATACTATGTGAACAACTTAAAATACAACAAATAACATCTCATGGCTACTGTGTAAAAAATTAAAAATATATCATGGAAAATCCCAAGGATACTACCCACCATGAAATATCTCATGGATACTATAGGAACATTACAAAGTACACAATAAAAGGAATGTGAACACTTGGGGAAAATTAGAATATATGTGCCAACATTTTCAAATTTAAAAGACAGTTTACTAACCCATTATCCAAATTAAATTTTGGTTGCACCATTGTATTTTTTACAATAAATGCTTCAAAATAAGATCCCATCTGCATATATTTAAATAAAATCTTTGAAGGAAAAAATTCATGAGTATATAACATTTTATTTTTAGGTTTTTTTATTGATACCATTATAATTTTTGAAGTTTGGAGAAGTAACATTACTATTTACCTATTCTAAACCTTACCATTATAATTTTTCCTCCGTTTGAAAGATACCATGCTATATGTCTTGGGAGGTCTTGGGCCCGGCTGCAGCATACAGAACAGACAGGTATTTCTGTATGGACGATATTGCCCTCAGCTACTCC